TTATTATTACTTCTCTCCTAGTGGGCCTGTTATTCAGCCATAGAAATAACGTTTGTTATTATTACTTCTCTCCTATTGGGCCTATTATTCAGCCATAGAAATAACGTTTATTATTACTCCTCTACTATTGGGCCTATTATTCAGCCATAGAAATAACGTTTATTATTACTTCTCTCCTAATGGGCCTGTTATTCAACCATAGAAATAACGTTTATTATTATTACTTCTCTCCTAGTGGGCCTGTTATTCAATCATAGAAATGACGTTTACTATTACTCTTCTCCTAGTGGGCCTGTTATGCAGCCTAAAAAATAACGTTTATTATTGCTTCTTTCCTAGTGGGCCTGTTATTCAGCCACAGAGATAACGTTTATTATTACTCCTCTCCTAGTGGGCCTGTTATTCAACCATAGAAATAACGTTTGTTATTATTCCTCTCTCTTGGGTTTTCACGTCTTGTATTTTCACTTCAAAGAAGACATAATACTCAAAAAACTTCTCAATGACACGACTTCTTTTGAATAAATTATGGTTGGAGGGCGCTGCTTATCAACCACTTAAAATGTTAAACACTATTAATAATATTTTTTCTCTTATTTGTTCCGTTTAGGTCCCATAAGTGTTTTTTTTTTTTCTCATAAGGTGGAACGTGTCCGACTTCTCGGTCTGTTCTAAGTCATGTGCGGGTGGTCTACAAACTCGGACAGTCCAGTGCATACATGAAGTGACCCGAGGAGCAGCAAACACCCTAATAGTGGCAAACAACCTGTGTCCACAGCCTCCACCAAGAGTACAACAACTCTGTAACGTTAACGACTGTCCCACCAGATGGCGTGTGGAACAATATAGCAAGGTAAATGTGTCTTTTTTTACTTATTTCGAATATTCGCGCAAAGCTACTCGAAGGCTCTTTGCGCTAGCCGTCCCTAATTGGATGGAATGCTACTAGTCAACAGCATCCACCGCCAACTCTTGGGATTCTCTAATCGAATAGTGGGACTTGACCGTCACTCTTATTATGCACACGCAGTTCAAAGTGCGGAGTGGTATTTTATGGCAACCAAACACGAACCATGGATTCAGAATTAGGGAGGTTAACCATCAGGTCACGCTAAGCCCAGTAAATTAAGTGGTAAACACAATGCTCCTGAAATTTTAGATATCTAAACAGGATATCAAAATAAACAGATCTACATATCAAGTATCTATCTATATATATGTATATTCCACGTATGCTTACCCCGCGTTATTTCCAACAGGTGACGTTTGCAAATACGCAGTAAAGTAAAACTGTGCATTAAACTGGAAATTTCAGTATTTATATTGTCTGGGACTCGTTACAGATAACTTGTATCATTGTGTCAAAAGCCCAATATGTTTTGTCTGGGACTAGTTACGGAACGGTAACTTATATCATTGTAATCACTAGCCTAATTTATGTTGTCTGAAACATGTGATGGTCTTTAATAAATTACTGGTCACGTGCCAAGGTTAAAGGAGATACCTAATGATGTTCATGTTTACAAAACAAGTTTGTTTGTTTTGTTTTAGCGCAAAGGTGCATTGGGCTATCTGTTGTGTCCACCGCGGGGAATCGAACCCTGGATGTTATCGTTGTAAGTCTGTAAACTTACCGCTGATCCAGCGGGGGACGACCCGAACAAAACAGATTTCTATACAATGTATGGTAACAATACAGTTTTATTGAGTATATTCAGCTATTAAAGTTTCCGGGCAATATAAAACCTGCCCCCAGTAGCACAGCGGTATGTCTGCGGAATTACAACGCTAGAATCCGGGTTTCGATACCCGTGGTGGGCAGAGCACAGATAGCCCATTGTGTAGCTTTGTGCTTAATTACAAACAAACAATATAAAACCTGTCAGTTTCGCGGAATTGAACCAACACAAAATACGACTAAAGTCTCCACATGGTTATCCCCACCCCACTACTGTAGTCTTTTTGGCGTTCATGGTAATCATATACGTTATTGTATATGACTCTCGTTCGGGGGTGGGTGGGAGGTGGTGGGTGGCCTTGTGGATAGCGTGTCAGACTGTGGATCTGAGAACCCATGGTTCATGTCTCACTACCGAAACAAATGCATTCCACACGTTGGGGCAGTGAATGCATTACAAGAGTGATGGTCAAGTCCCATTACTTTGTTAATGCAACCCAAGTGTTGGTGGTGGGTGCTGTTGACTAGCTGCTTTCCCTCTAGTTTATCAGCTAAAACTTATTTACAGTTAGCACAGATATCCCTTGTGTAGCTCTGGCTCTGCACGAATATCTGAACTAAATAAACAAACCCTCTAATAAGCAGTTCTAAATTACAGACATATCTGAATGATAGAATATCTGACCTGGCCGTTTAACCCATAAGATGCTGTTCAAGATGGGTCTGTCATAGCCTGGTGGTTGGGGAGCTCGACACACTATTTGTAGATAGCAGGTTCGAAACTAAGTGATGAAAATACTGGCTCCTTCAGTCTTAAGAGCGTTATAATGTGATGGTTAATTCCACTATTTATTAGTAAACTGTAGTCCAAGAGTTAGCGGTGGTGCGGTCAGCCGGTTGCCTTCTCTATGGTTGGCAGTTTAAAATTGAGGACGGCGGCAGATAACCTTGGTAGCTTTGCCATAAGCAAACAAACAAGCAAACCATTCAGGTTGAAAACATCAATATTTAATAATTAAGCTTGTGACGATGAACGTTGCTGATATCTATATTGCATGGTTTCATGTTACATTTGTTTAGATTTGAACTACTGAGAAATATTCCACATAGACTGGGAGTATATGCGTATTATTTGTAAGTAGTATCCACGATTGTTTTTTTTTTTCTTCTTTATTATCTTTGGTATTTATTCGGTTTATTCGTTATTTATTCAATCTTCCAAGTTTATTATGTGAAGGTATACATGAGTAAGTTTAATTTTTTTATATTACTAGTTTTTAAGCCCCCTCGTGGTTCAACAGTCTGCTTGAGAGTTTATGACGCTACAATTTCGGGTTTAAAAATAATGGCCAAAATTAGAAGTAATTCCTTTTTTTCTGCTTTGAAAACATTTAAGTGCGAGAATTTGAATGTATAAAATCTGAAATAGGCTTCTTTTAATTAAAATTTCATTGTACAAAATTATTAAAACGTCCGTATAGTTACAAACAGATCAGATAAAAATGCTTTCAAGAACAACAAAACATCTTATTTTTGAAGAATTCATCAAGTTGACGATTGAAGACAAGTTTCGTGATGTAACATAAATCCTTGAAATTTTTCTAAAATAAAATATATGCATATCAAAATTTTAAATTTATTTTTTTTATTTTAAGAGTTTTGCTTTCACATATTTTTTTATTTTAGTGCTCTCAACGATGCGGTGGAGGAATTAAGACACGGAAAGTCAAGTGTGAGAAAGAGTTAGCATTCGGTCGTATTGTTAGCCAACCAACGTCAATGTGTCCTAAAAAACGACCACGATCTGAGAAACCTTGCAAAGTAAAGCCATGTGGTAGTGACACAGGGAAAACACCTTATATCAAAACATCTGATCAGAATTACGTCCAGAAGAATCCTACTAAGAAACTTAAATTAAGCATTGGAGGTCATGCTGTTTTATTTGAAGACACTAGCGTTAAGATTCGATGCCCAACACGAAATTTCAATAAATCACTAATCGTGTGGTACAAGGACAAAATACGGATTGAAAAATCAAGGAAATTTAAAATTTCGCGAAGAGGGTCACTGAGAATTCGTCATCTAACTTCTGACGATAATGGGAAATATTCATGTGCAGCTGGCCCGGCTAAAGCTAATATCACGCTTCTAGTCAAGCCAATTCCACCAGGGTATGGTCGTTCGGATGAAGACAAGACAGTTGAAAGACCAGATTTCGATCTTGATTGTAACAATGCAGTCTGTTTGGACGGAAATTCCCGAATCAGTTCAATTGAGTCCAACAAGTTCATTCAGCAGAACCCGAAACAAAATGTTCATTTAAAAACTGGAGGTTATGCTTCACTTTTTGATGGTACAAAGTTAAAGCTCAGATGTATTAATCAACCAAAAGGCAACGCTCTTATAGAATGGTACAAAGACAAAAATAAGCTACAATCAAACAAGAAATATACCATAACTTCAACAGGGAAGCTAAAAGTGAAAGAGTTAACGAAAGAAGACAGTGGGCGATACACTTGTTTAGTGGGTCCAATGAAAAGTGACATATTTGTTTCAGTGAAATCTTCCCCACCTGGATACGGAAGATTTGATGAAGACAAAACTGTCGAGCGTCCTTTCTTTCCATTAGGTTTGTGGATGGTTTTAAATTCTTAAACATGAAATATATTATATTTAATGCAATTCTTTTGTTTTAAATCAGGTTCTTGTTTTTAATTCCCTCACAAATATCTATATTTAGGTACCCCGGTGGGAAAGCGGTAAGTCCTCGGATTTTCAACGATACAATTAGGGATTCGATTACCCTAGGTGAACACAGCAGATAGCCCGATGTAGCTTTGCTATAACAAAACACACAGACACTTGTAAAAAATATGTTTTTTGCTTTTTCTAAACTATAGCATATATCTAATGCTTATGGATTGCTTTGAGTGAAACGAAATTTTGTAAGCACTGTGTTAATTCCATATTGTTCAGCTTTAGAATAATTCTTATAAAATGTAAAGAGGTATGTTAGTTATAAAAAAATGTTTTATTACTTGAAGGTGAGCAGCTAGGGAACGTAGAAGATGCCAACTACAGCCATGAAGATAGAGATGATGCCTTGAAAGGCAATGAGCATTACAATCATAATTTTTTTTCAAATCGTCCAAGGTTTCACAAACCTGGATTAAAACAAACCAATCGTGAAAAGTCTAAGACCCGACAGCGAGGAAAATTTCGGCCTACTAATCCTTTGAGATCAAAAACCCACATATTTGCCTCCAACCCATCGCCTGCAGATGACATGCCACATCCCAAAGTGCTCGATACCTGGGAATATCAACACGGCAGCGCCCTCTTTTCAGACCAGGAAAAGGATGATCTCAATGCCGGTACCCCCCACGGTGGCCAAGGCATCCCCGATTCTCCACAGGAGGAAGAGGGTGACCAGTTACGCTCAGGGGCGGCCAGCAATCACGCCCTACCTCATCTTCAGCAGCTTTTAGTCAATCTAAGGCAAACATTAAGAGGTGATTACAATGGATTCCCTATTGATCACGCTGAAGAAGAGCCAACAACGCCAGAAATGATTAGTCCAGTTGGACCTTTAGCCAACAGTGTTTTCCTAGGAAAGGGAAACCCTGAGAGTTTGAAATTTGACTGGGATGTAACTGAATGGTCAGTCTGTTCTCACACGTGTGGGGGAAACGGTTATCAGGTAAAAGTAATTTGTACTTTTGAGTTTTGAATACGAAAAAGAGCGGGCTTTTTTCAAATTGATGTCTTAATTTTATACCGTATTTCAATGACCATTAAGACTTAATAGCTCAAATTGTTAGAACATTTTTGCAGGATTAAGAAACATTAGGTTCAATTCAACTCGAGGTTTCTTTTTTGTTTGTTTTTTCACAAATCTACTGCAACCAATTTGAGCAAACTTTTAAATATTTACTGCGTCACTTGAAATAAAAAGCACTTTCTATAATTTGAATTAATTATAGTGATTACTTTATGAAGAGTGTTTTAAGATAATACGGTCTCTGTTATAGTGAAAATAATATTTTTTACCTCATTTCAGGTTCGAGTGAGCCAGTGCGTTGTTCGACTGAACAACGTCTCCAGGAGCGTTGAAAATAATATTTGTGCTGATTCAGGACTCGACCCTCCATTGACAATCCAGAAGTGCGGGCTAGAAGAATGTCCACATTGGGAAACTGGAGCTTGGTCAGAGGTAGAGGAGGAACGCTTCTTCAGTGGGGAAACTACATCTCAAATCTCTGGCAAGGCACAGGAGGTTAAGACGTGTATCTTTGGGAGAATGTACAGCAGCCTCACTCCCTAGAATGAGGCTGAAACTCTCGTTCTCATAACTGTCAATAATAAAAACTTTATCCGTTGAAATAGCCTCTTTACCTTGCATGGGAAAAAATATAGTCTTTCTGCATGTTTAGTGTTATTTTTATTAAGTAAATGAAAGTTTAAGTCGGATTTCGACTTAATGAACAGAAACTACGAGAACAAAATGTTAAGTTTGTTTATTATTATTATTATCGAAAGGGCATCGGAAGTATATTTACATTGATTGGGCTCGGAACCACAACAAAACATCACCAGGTAAAAAAAAAGACAGTATCTATCAACACTTACCAACGCATGCGCTTTAGAGCGTAAATATTACGAGGCATGTGTTTTGAAGTAACTTAATTTGGCTTATATAACGCAAAGTAATCAGTATAAAATTTGTCTATATATATATATTTAATCGTTGAACCTAAAACCGAATCTACTCAAATATTGTAATTCTAAAGTAATTGCTTCACTGCTCACCCTTGTTGTTTATTGCCACTTGCGATACAAATGGACACCAGAAAATAAACTTCGGCATAGTACAAAATTACAAACGTCTACAGACAGATTATTGTCGAGCTCTGAAAATGCGTCAAAGTAAGGAAACTATTTTTGTTATGCACTCATAAGTAAGTATTATACGTGTGTTTCATCAATTTGTAGGCCTTTTGAGTAATATTTGAGCGCATACATAATATAAAATTAGCAAGGAAAAGCCCCAGCGCCATCGCTTGGCTTAAAACTAATCTAACAGTGACAATACTTTACCGTCAGGTAATATTGATGGGCGTAACATCATTCAGCAATAAAGATATTCAAAAGAAGCTTTAGAAAAAGAAGAAAAAACTTTACCGGCTTCACCTATCCCACCAGTTCTGGCACCTTGTATTTGAACCATTTCAACTGCTCTTCCTACCCCTTATTCATTTTGTAGTTCATCTAGCTACAGTTATTATTATTATTAAATTCCTTACAAGTCACTGAATAAAATGCTCATTTCAACAACAGTTTCATATTTACTTGGGAATTTTAAAAAATGTTTTAAAACTATTCATTTCCAAGTTTGGTAATCATGTACGCCAATAAATAAACAAACAAATAAACATTGTTAGTTCTTAGTTCTAAATCTGTGTAATTTTATTTGTTTGTTTTTATGCGAAACTTATTTTTTTTTTAGATGTTTTTGTCTTAATGATCCTCGTAAGATTATTAAATCAAAAGGAATTAATTTTTCAGTGTTCTGAAAGTACCTGTTTTACTTGGAACACTGCATACCAGAAAAGAGATATTTTCTGTCGCCTACCAAATGAAACTGAAGTAGATGGGGTTCGTTGTGAAGAAAGAACACGACCAAGGCGGAGAAGAGAGTGTTACAATGATCAATGCAGAGGTGTCTGGAAAGTTGGAGACTGGTCAGAGGTAATAGTAAAATGCGGTTTTTAAAACTTCAGAAGCGAATAACAAAACAAAAAAGAAGAAAAAGAAATTGTTCAAAACTTAGGTAAACAGTTAACGTAAAATTCCGATAAAAGAACGTTTCTTTAAATTTTATTATTAAAATTATTTCACAAAATTCGAAAGGCAATTTCTCTATTCATCAAAATAATGTGTTTCTGGAACTCTGAAAACAAACGTAACTCTTGAAGCTTTGTTCTCAGAATACTTTTTCTGTGTTACAATATATCACTTTCCTAAACCTTAACGAAAATATTCTGATGAACTGTATAAGCAATTAATCTTTATTGTGAAGAAAATAAAATTATATTTCTGAAACTTCAGGTGAACAAACTGTAAATTCAAGTTGGAATGCATTAAAAAGGAAGCAAATTCTAACAACCTCGTAATTTAATTAATCGTCTATTTATTTACAGTAGTTAGTTAGTTATTTGCAGTTAGGGATAGTACATCATACTAACATAGTCTACAACAAATGAATATATACACTTCTGGTTAAGATGTTTGCATACTGTTCTGTATTGATGTTATTGCCTACATGCATGGAGGAGTAATTGAGTAAATGCCCAAATAGTGACGGAGAAAGTGGCGTATGATCGGACAAACAGGTACGAGTTGTTATTATGGTCTGTGTGAGCTGCTTTGAGCATATGTGCGTCAACACACACACACACCTGTTTTGTATAAAAGGGTGTGCTTTTGGTATAATCTTTTTTGAAACATATCAACGCTTTGATCAGACAATTTCTCTGTACTTGGTGTAGAGTCATGCCTCGTCACGTCCCAGAAGTTATAAGGCGTCAAATTGTTCAACTGTTCAGAAATGGTATGAAGCAAACGGAAATTGCCAAAACAGTAGGGTACCCCCAGTGTACTGTATCCAGAATCATGAACTGTCATCGGACTACAGAAACCTTTGTTTCAGGAAGGTCTACTGGTAGACACTGAAAATATATTGCCTGAGATGACCGTGTTTTGATCAGGTTAACACATCAAGGTCCAAAGAAGTCTTGCATCACCATAACGACAGAAATGGCATGAATACATTCATTCCAGGGTAACCAGAAGAACAGTGAGTAGGAGCCTCACCAAAGAAGGTTATTTTGCAAGAAACACTATCTGCAAACCGATATTACCTAGAATATACCGCCGTCACCGTGTTACTTGGACAAGACAGCATGTCAACTTACAGTTACTGTGGACATATTATCTTTTCAGATGAGTCCTGTTTCCGGCTTGTTAACGCTGGTGGCAGGATTCGTGTTCGTCGTTTGCCTGGAGAAGGGATTATTGAAGACTGTCTTTCCCACAAAGAACACACAGGAGGTGGCGCAGTACATGATTGGGCAGCTATTCATCATGGTGGAAAAACTGCTATTCATATCCTCCAGGGAAATGTCAATGGTACCTTCTACATGCATCACATGGAAACGATATTTCTGTCATATGCTGGGGCAAGGTTTGGTAATAACTTTGTGTTCCAGAATAACAATACCACTGCCCACAGTGCACGTATTGTACAGGATCATTTCGACCAGGAGGAAGTTACAAGATTGCCATAGCCAGCAAAGTTTCCAGATTGTAATCCCATTGAGAATTGTCGGGTAGAAGTTAGCCAGAAAATTGCTAATCACGACTCTGAACCAACTACTGTAGCTGAGTTGCAGTGCTTTCTTGTGACAAATTGTGATAAAATCATAGTGGATTACATCAATAACTTCATCAACAGCATGCCACGTCGCCTTACGGGGGTTATTAGAGTAAGAGGAGGACCAACCAAAGACTGAATGCTCAATATAGACTGATATAATGTTACAGACGCTATTCATAGTAATTTGCTGTTATAATTTGTCAATATATATATATATATGTTTTGATAGGGTTTTGTTGCAATAGATGAAATGTTGAATTACCCATCTTTCTACAGGTGTCTGATAAAATTGTTTGCTTTTCTAATAAATCGTTCATGATGTCTATAGAACCTGTCTCATTATACAATTTGTCTCTTTCTACAAATGTATATGTAGATGTTTAATATAACATGCATTTCTCAGTTTGACAGCGCTAAGTGTATTTGTATTCTATCTTAATAAT